GTCACTAGCCGTGTTTGGGCTCAAACTCCGCTGCAGGTCCCTAACGATCAGTGTGGCATCACGGAGAGTTGAAAAACTGTCTAAATTCTTTCATCTGTAATAAAATGATCAGCGTTCTGCTCTTCCAGGTGTAACAATTGAGTTTAACATCCAGTCATCCATGAAAATGGAATTTATGACATTTAACGCAGTTAGAAATTAGCAGGAAGTTAGCTCGCTAGCTTCCATCTAAATATAATATAGCATGTCCTGACTGCGGGATTTTCGAAACAAATTAAGACGTACAGCTCTGCTATCACTTCCAACATAAATGAAGACAGAAAACAAAACAGCAGTGACGTTTGTAGGATTACTGGAGTTTGGCTAGCTGGTATATAATAATGTGCTACGTGACCGCTAGCGACACAGCTATGTTAGCATAATATAAACAAGCTAACTTTTTTCCACTCAATAAAAGTTAACGTGAGGATTCTCGGTGGTCAGGAGGACCAAATGTAATCGCATGGCAGGATGCTGTAAACGGACCAAACTTCAGCCAGGAGAACAACTGAGATAATTCATTCATAATAAGTGGTTCGTTCTTAATGTACTGCTGCACGAGCTAGGCGGTAGTTGGGTTAGTCATTCATATACTGCTGCATGGGCTGGGCTGTAGTTACATCCTAAGGTTTTAAAAACTGAGCTTAAATAAATGATTAGCAGTAATAAAAGCCGAGGGAGGTCAACAGTGATCACTGACTGTTTTTAGGAGCTTTTTGAGATTAAATAGAAGAAAATACAAAACATTAAACATGTTAACAACACAAAAGCCATATTAAACGCAGACTACTTTAGGCCCGGAAGTAGGATTTGTCACGTCATCACTTAAAGACCGGATTAGGGAAACGAAAGAGCAGGTACTTTGTGTGTGTTCAGCGAAGTTGTGTCACGCCACCGCACTGCAACAAATCACCGCAGAGCAGGAAGAAGGGGGCGGAGTCTTTTTTGATATAGAGAAAGTGTATGATATGATGTGGAGGGAAGGTCTATTAATAAAAATGAGGTAAATGGGTATAAATGGTCGAATGTTCAGATGGATTAAGGATTTTTTGGAAGGCCGACGAATAATAGTGAGGATTGGGAGGAGTTATTCGGAGAGTTTGCCGATAGAAAATGGAACGCCACAAGGAAGCATAGTTAGCCCGTTATTGTTTTCACTGCTGATAAATGATGTGTTTAAGAACATAGAGGGTGGGATGGGGCAATGTGGGCAAGAGGACGAAGGTTAGACTTTTTGGTAAAGAAAGTGCAGGGGGCAATCACAGAAATAGAACAGTGGTCATATAAATGGGGGTTTAAATTCTCAGCTGATAAGACTAAAATAATGGTTTTTACAAGAAAAAGAGTTGGTGTTGACATCAGGGTCAGATTATATTGATAAGAATTAGAAAGGGTAAAACAGTTTAAATTTTGGTGGTTGTGGATTGATGAAAGGGTGATGTGGTAGGACTTGACTTAAGCGGCCAAAGAAGTGCAGGAGGCTGATGCTGTCCAGTGTAGCAAGTGATTTATTCACCATTTTGTGACCCAAATAATATTTACAAAGAAACAAATAAGAAACTCAAATTAACTCAGTTCAAATAAACATAAGTGAACTTAAATCAACGGAAATTAAGGTCAAACTGCACACAGCTACACCGATTGAACCTTTCTCCTCAAACACCTGAGTTCTGCTTAAATAGTCCACTTAACCAAACAATTTCTCCTCTCGACTATTCCATTCAGTAGGTAGGTAAGATGAACATGATTATATTCAAACCTCTACTGCCACTCTTTACTAGCAACATAAACTCTATGGTGTAATCAATACATATTACATCAATAAATGTATTTATCCATAAACCCTCTAAAATCAACTTTATTAAATTATAAGAGTTCTTCCCCTTCTGCACTTGGTCTCTTCCTGTGACCTCAGATGAACCCAGAAGCTATAAAGCAGGAAGTAAAACTACATTTCCTCCTTTTGTTTCTGGAAGACAGGTAGGTAAGGTAGGTTCTAAACAATACAAATTAACAGTTGAAGTAAATAACATGTTAACTTAACAAACTTGTATGAATTGATTTAAACCAAGATGTTATATTATATAATCTGTAAAAGTGCAAAACATAAACAAACCCGGGATATTAGATGTTTGCCTATTGCAGATTACATGCGAAATATGGTTAAATCAAAACAAGAATGTTAACTAAGAATATGGACAAATCGTACTTTCACCCACTTTGTCACAGGTGACATGGACTGTACATATTCAGAAAATAATAGACCAATGCAAGAAAGTAGTGATGGCCAAATGAAGCTTTCTGAAGCTTGTATTGAAAAACGGTTCATTACTCGAAGCTTTTCAACACAGTCCTCTCTGGTGACATCTGGTGGCCAAAAATATGAAGAGCAGCTTGAATCCACAAAATAAAACCAACTGCTTCATTAAGATTGCCCACTCACTCTACAGAGTGGAATTCTATCTGATATTGGGCCGCCGTTGTGTTGCTTTGAACGTGTATTTTTTTTTTTTTTTTTTTTTTTTTTGGTGGTTAAAAAAAATGGTTTATTTGTTTAATAAATAATTTTGACCAGTAAACTCTCCTTGTTTAAACATGCACCATGGTGTGGTCTTTCTTTGCTTGAGACTTCTTGATGTTGGTAAATACAATAATTGAAAAATACCACGTTACATATAATATGCATATGATAATGTACAACACATTATGGAGTATGCTTCTGCTGTGAGGTCCTGCCTCCATGCACTTATGCAATTAACCGCTAGACGGGTATATATATAAATAATATTATATTAGGGAAATTTTCCTATACATGTTTTTGACCTGGGGGTAGAATTGATTGTGAAAGGGAAAATGCTTATGAACTTGCAAACTAAGAGCATGATGCATTTAAGGTAACCCTTTTTCATTTTTATTTAAGAAGAAAATTTGTTCCACTGTGCGATGGCCGAAACTGTTCCTTTTCGTGGAGATAATTTCCCCTGCCTTAAGGAAAATCCCTTCACATGGCCCAGAGGATGCTGGAGCGCAGAGAAACTGGTGGAGATGCAGTTATACAGTCTACCTGGGCCCCACAAACTATCAGCTAAAGAGAATAAATACATTAAATTGCTGCACATTTGGCAGACTAACATTTTCAGATTAATTAAACAATAAAATATATCTTTTACAACATTACATGTAAAGAGTCAAGTGGAAGTTTTTCTACCGAAGCAGTTAGGTTCTAAATGAAGCTTCGGACGTCACTGATCACATGGCTCTGGCCAAACGAAGCAAACTTCGACACAGTGCTTCTGAAGCAGTGTGCTGATTTTTTTGACACACGCACCAGAGCTTCAGCTTCAAGCGGGCCATCACTACAAGAAAGTGTTGAATATAATGAGGTGCTTAGTGGGAACTGACTGGGGGGCTGATAGGAAATCTTTAAAAGCTTTATATACTGGGTTGATTAGGTCAGTATTGGATTATGGGTGTGTCGTATATAATTCTGCTGTCAGAACAAGTCTTTGTAAGTTGGATGGTATCCAATATCAAGCGTTAAGACTTTGCTCAGGCGCATTCAAAACAACATCTGCAGCAGCTGTACAGGTAGAAATGGGAGAAATGCCATTACAAATAAGAAGAGAGCAACTGGCATTGAATTACTGGGCAGGTTTACAAGGACGTGGTCAGGATCATCCGACAAAAACAGTTTTCCAACCATGCTGGGAAAAAGAGAAACATGAATAGAAGAGTTTTGGGTGGACAGTGGGACAGAAAGCAGCTGAACTTAATCTGGACAAGATAAACATAAGTCAAACAGCACCGTTGCCTACAATACCACCATGGATGCTCCCTGATGCAGTAGCAGATTTCACATTGTTAAACAAAAAGAACAAGGAGAGGGGTTTATCTTAAATCTACATACAGCGCAGGAATATATTAATCAGTATTAGAGTTATGTCAAAATCTACACAGATGCATCAAAGAATACAGCCAACCAAAGCGGGATAGCCTTTATTGTTCCTGAATTTAATATCAAGGTGGGGAAAAGGATCAGTGACGATTTATCAGTGTACACGGGTGAAATGGTTTCATTATTGTTAGCAGTCCAATGGGTTGAAGAAACAAAACCACTAAGATCTGTGACATTTTCAGACTCGAGCTCTTCACTGGCCAGTCTGCAAGACTGTCACTCAGACTGCAGACCTGACATTCTGATAGAGATCCAGCAAACATTGTTCAGACTTGTTATGATGGGGCTTATGGGCACATTCTTATGGGTACCAGCGCATCGTGGAGGTAAAGGAAATGAAATGGCAGATAGGACAGCAAAAGTCGCAACAAGGAGACCGATGGTAGATATGGTTATTAGTGTGAGTAGGACGGAGATCAAGAGTACAGTACGATACAAAATGAAGGAAAGGTGGCAAAAGCAATGGGAGGAAGAGAGGAAAGGGCGATGGTTTTATAAAATCTAAAGGAAAGTGGGGAAAATGAGAAGTACAGGCCGAAACATGATAGAGGATACGATTATATCTCGACTGAGATTCGGACACACTGGTTCAAATAGCACCTTGTTTTTAATAGGTAAACACTGTACAGGGGAGTGACTGCAGTAGGGAACAGGAAACAATAGAACATGTTTCTTGAATTGTCAGAGGTTTGATATTGAAAGGAGACAACTGATCAAAAAGCTGGACGGTATGGAAGTGAAGTTGGACTTGATTGATCTGTTTCGCACGAGTGAAAGTTATCAGGCTGTATTTTGGTTTTTAAGGCAGACCCATTTGTTCGAGAGGATTTTATTTTTTATTTTTTTTATTTTTTTTGACATTCCGGTCCGCACTCCACACCAGTTGGTGGCGGCAATGCACCCTTTTGCTGTTTGCCAACCGCCAGTAAACCCTATACGGCAGAAGAAGAAGAAGAAGAAGAAGAAGAAGAAGAAGGAAAAAGAAGAAGAAGGGGGCGGAGCACAGTGTGTGTGCAGGAGAGGAGCCGAGCAGAGAGAGCTGCTTTTTCATGAAACGGGAGTAAAGTAGTGAACTTAGAGGAGAGAAACGAACTAAAGTATCGATCATGAACCACTACCAACGTCCTGATCGATATCTGCATCGATCTGCCCACCCTTGTCTCCTGGATCGTAGCTGAGATCAGCGTGAACCACGTGGGTCTCTGCTCCCTGATCTGTTTCCTGTGTTTGGAAAGAGTTGCAGCTTCATCACGGAGTTTGTGGGCTCATTTAAAGGTAAGCACCGAGCCACATCCAGGGTTAAAAAAGCATTATGTACAGTTCAGTGCGGGCATCGCTATTCAACAGTACCTTTCGGTGCACCTCGTAAATTCAGGAAACTGTACAACTAAACTCACAAGGTTGTTTAAATGATCCTGTAGTTTTCTTCTCCTTTACGAGGATGGCCGGAATATTAGGGGCCTGCTGCATATTCCTTACAGTAGTCACAACCATAGCTAATAGTAATAATTTAATAATAGTAATAAGGTATTTTCAGTACTAAGATCAAATTTGGAGCTTATATTTTGGTCGTTTGTTTTTATTATTATTCTTTTAGTTAAAGTAAAGAAACTAAAATGTTAAATTATTCTTAGTGTTTTTATTATTTTATTATCATCATATTACTTGGTTTTATCCCAAAAGCTAATATAACAAATAAAATACTCTCAAAATTACATATTTCATTAGTTTGGGGTTGTTTTTGGGTTGGGCATAGTCTGATGAGAAGGGGAAGGATTTTGGGAGAACTACATGTGTTTTATTGAATCTATAAACAGACACACACAGTGCAGTGAGGAATTAAATCCACATTTGGCAGCACTGAAAATTATACAGAGATCTTTGACTTTTGAACTTCTCCCTTAATAGAGATGTTATGTTACCAGATGTTACGCTATGAGTAAAAAAAAAATGCTTGGACACTGCCAGCATAATGGGCAAGTTTTTGATGAGGCTCACGTGCAAACCTAAAGCAGAAGATGAAGATCGCCAAATATGCTTCCAAACCAACATCCTTCTAAGCCAAAGAGTAGAAAATATGATGACATGTATCTTACCTTTTGCTTCACTTGCACAATTGTGGTGTTGGGTGTAATGCGTTACTATAATTAAATTATTTTTCCACTGAAAAAGTAGAGTAACTAATTACTGTTCATTTTTAGGTATTTTAATTACAGTTACTTACAATGTACTTGTGTTACATTGTAAAATAATTAAACTCGCAGAATATCATTATTTAACTTCAATAATTTATCTTCTAAAGGTAGAAGTAAACTCTGCCGCTTTAACATCGCTGTAGTGTAGCTGCGCGTCATTCCGCGCCAGTTTGCTGCATAGTCGTATTCTAAAGCAGAAGATGTCGGACTCGGCTGAAGCGAGTGGCTGTCTTATGAAATGGACATATTCCCGTCTCTTCACTTTTCTGAAACAAGCAGACCAGAACATTACAGTAATATGTAAGCTATGATCCTTGTTCATCATCCACGGATAACACCGCGGCAACTCCTGCTAAGCAGGCAAAACCTAATTTTACTTCAGCAGCACAGAAAGCGTCTGAAGGTGAGCTTAAAAAATGATTGCAGGCTACATTGTGGAAGAGATGCTACCTCTGCGTACTGTAGAGTCTCCGTCTTTAAAAAATTTTTTTATTATTTAAAGAGTTTAATTTCTATTGTTTGCCCACTGAAGGTTTACAGGGATTTTAAGAAGTATTTAGTTAAATTACTTATTTAGTAATTAAGTTACTTTTCTGACACAGTAATTAGATAAGTATTTTAAATACAATATTGACTAAGTAATTAGTAATTAATGACTTTTTTAAAGTAGGTTTCAATAATCAATTTTCTGATCGAGGTATTAAATCCTGAATCGATTTTAAATATAAAACGTGTATAACTGAAGACAGTAGTGACATCTTTAACCAGGTCTTCCCATTAACACCTCACCTGTCCAGAGGTTCAGTCAATGAGCTTGTCAAGGTCAAATTTATTGATATGGCACATTTCAAACAGCTGATGCTGCACAAAGTGCTTAACAATATAAAAATGGCATTAAAAAGCAACAATGTAATGCAATAATAACTGTATAAAACAATAATAGGACAGTAAGAGAATTAAAACAATAACTAAAACTAATTCAAATAAGACCAAAATGCTTGGGTCATAGTGTGTTAAAAGCCAGGGCATAGAAATGTGTCTTCAGTAATGATTTAAATTGCTCAAGTGTTTGTGCAGATCTAATATTTAAGGGGAGACTATTTCAAAGTCTGGGACCTGCCACAGAGAAGGATCTATCACCACGAGGTTAGTCCGTGGGATGGACAGCATTAGTTTTGAGCTAGACCTCGTGGTTTTTCCTGGAGCATAGGCAGAGAGGAGCTCAGACAGGTAAGGAGGGGCTCGGGCATTAAGTGACTTAAAAACAAAAGGTAAAAGTTTAAATTTGATCCTGTAGGAGACAGGAAGCCAGTGTAAAGAAGCTAAAACTTGGGTTATATGCGCTCTCCATTTGGTACCAGTTAAGAGTCGAGCAGCTGCATTTTGAACCATCTGAAGACGATGGATGGTGGCCTGATCTAGACCATAATACAATGAATTGCAGTAGTCTAATCTGCCAGTAAGGAAAAGGTGAATAACACGCTCAAAGACGTTAGAATCAGAATCAGAAAGGGTTTTATTGCCAAATGTTGAGCGGGTTTAAAACATTAGGAAATTGCTGCGGTGCTTCAGTGCAAACATACTGTTATAAATACTGTTATAAATTAAGCTTAAATAGACATGAAAATAAAAATAAGAATAAGAATTAAAAGTGCTAAGTAGATAGATATATACATGATATATACATGAGTGCAGGTGGTGATCAGTGCCAAACATAGAATGATGCAGTGAACACAGCGTAGGGTCATGTGTTAGTGGTGGGAACAGTCATATGGTTATTGTTCATGTGTCCAACAGCAGAGGGGAAGAAACTGTTCTTATGGCGAGAGGTTCTGGTGCGAATGGACCGGAGCCTCCTGCCTGAGGGGAGCAGGTCAAACAGACTGTGTCCAGGGTGAGAAGGGTCAGCTGAGATCCGGGCTGCACGCCGCAGTGTCCTGGAGGTGTACAGGTCCTGCAGAGATGGGAGTCTGCAGCCAATCACCTTCTCAGCAGAGCGCACAACACGCTGCAGTCTCTGTTTGTCCCTGATAGTGGCTCCAGCGTACCACACGGTGATGGAGGAGGTGAGGATGGACTCGATGATTGCGGTGTAGAACTGCATCATCGTCCGTGTTGGCAGGTTGAATTTCTTCAGCTGCCTCAGGAAGTACATCCTCTGCTGGGCTTTCTTAATGACGGAGGTGATGGTGGGCTCCCACTTCAGGTCCTGGGTGATGGTGGTACCCAGGAAGCGGAATGAGTCCACAGAGGTGATGGGGGTGTCAGTCAGGATGATGGGGGGGAGTGGGGCTGTGTGCTTCCTGAAGTCCACAATAATTAGCCGGGAGGTATGGCTTTACCTTGGCTAGCTGTCTTAACTGAAAAAAGCAGGACTGAACTACTGCACTCACCTGCTTATTCAATTTAAAAGAACCATCAAGGTTGACTCCGAGGTTTTTTACATGTGTTTTACAATAGAAGGAAAGGGTGCCCAGAGTGCTGTTGATATGATTAAAGTTGCCAAAAATGACAACCTCAGTTTTATTTTCATTTAGCTTTAAAAGAATTTAATGACAACCACTGTTTGACATCATCAAGGCAGCGTAATAAGAGCTGGGGACGGTCTGATCCTGCTTTTAAAGGTAGATAAATCTGGAAATCATCAGCAAAACAGTGAAATTAAATGCTGTAGCACGAGAAGATGGAGCCCAACAACAACAACAACAACAACAACAACAACAACAACAACAACAACAACAAATAGAGTGCGAACAGGGCAGGATCCAAAAGAGAGCCTTGAGGTACACCGTATTTAAGAGGGGCTATTTTGGAGTTGTGGGGGCCTATATTGACATAAAAAAGACCTTTCTGACAAATAGGACCGAAACCACTGTGAGGCAGATCCTTTTAGGCCAGCATGAAATTCTAGCCGTGATAACAGGATGTCGTGGTCAACCGTGTCAAAAGCTGCTGACAAGTCCAACAATAAAAGGGCAGCACTCATTTTCGTGATTTTCCGCGTCATTTTCGCGAAAATGTAGTTTTTTTTTTTTTCATCAGTGTCTTGTAAGCCTATACTGGTGTTTTTAAAAGTTATGTTTGATTTTATGACTTTCTGTGTCGTTTCTGGGATTCTTAAAGTCAAATTGCACCGCTGGAAATCGTTTGTTTTGATGCATATGCTGTTTGTTTTTTTGTTTTTTTTGTTTTTTGCAAATTTGCAGTATAATATTTATTTTTGTTTTTCCTGCAGTATATAAAAATTGGTGTATTTCAAAAATAAAACTATGAAGACACTTAAAATAAATTATCTTTGGTGGGAAACTATTTTGTGCAACTTTTTTGTATTTACAGTTTTGAGGGATAAGCCTCTTAAATTTCTCTAACTAGAAATATATGTTAAAAAAACAAAACGATTTTCAACTTTTTTGTAGTTTATTGCAATTTATGTAATTACTATGCAATTAATGCATATATTCAAATTTGGGCTATAAATGGTAAATGGCCTGCATTTGTATAGCGCTTTACTCAGTCCCTAAGGACCCCAAAGCGCTTCACACTACATTCAGTCATCCACACACTGGTGATGGCAGCTACATTGTAGCCACAGCCACCCTGGGGCGCACTGACAGAGGCGAGGCTGCCGGACACTGGCGCCACCGGGCCCTCTGACCACCACCAGTAGGCAAACATGGGGTTAGAAACTTGCCCAAGGATATTTGGCATGCAGCCAGGAGGCAGCCTGGGATCAAACCACCGACCTTCTGATTAGTGGCTGACCTGCTCTGCCACCTGAGCTACAGCCACCCCGGTTGTATTGTATTGTTGTATTGATGTATAGCAACTTGAAATGCTCCAAAAATGGCACTACAACATGTAAAAATATAATATAAGCTCTGGCGGACTTGGTTCTATGGTAGGTCTTAAAGGGTTAAGGACATTAAAAAGTACCTGATGCCTGTGACTGTTTACTGACACTAAGTTTGAGACAAACCGTGTCTTTGCAGCTTTTACAGCTTCTTGGTAAGCAGAAAAACGAGTCCTTAAAATCTGTAGGGAAACGTGCAATCTGTCCTTTTTCCATCTCCTTTCGGCGCGTCTGTAGTCACGTCTAAGGGAAGCGCGTATGTTCGTTCAACAACGGCTCTGTTAAATGCTTAGCGCGCACAGTCCTGAGCGGAGCAATAGAGTCCAAGATATCAGTGCAGGTAGAATGAAGAATGTCCGAAAGGTCCTCAACACCTTTACACCCCTCCGACAGCCAAACCCATCTATTCTCTGATTGGATAGTTAAATTTGTGATTGACATGACATTGGCCAATTAGATGAAAGGAAGAAAAATAGGGTCAAAATTTGTACTTGAAACTTGAGTGCAGAGTTTCACACGTATGCACTTTTTGTTACAGTACAGTATTACAACAGTGTATTTACCTGTTCCGTATTCCATATATGTATTCTGTTATTAGCTAGACAAAGAGAATCAACATATTTCACTGTCATAGACATACCTAGTTTTCTTATCAAGCTTTCTTCAAAACAAATGCTAAAAAGATAAATCCATAAATCCCAAATATTCTGAAAGAATTATGTAATCAGCACCATCTCAATATGTGTGATGAATTTAAGGAAACGCTTTATGGCAGAAAAAGCGACTAAAACAATACATGATGGAGCCGAACAGTAACATTACAGAATGTTGGGGGTGTGCGATCCAAACTAATGTGCTACCCATAGCATGCTGCTAAAGCCGTAAACAAATACTTACAAAAATCTAATGTATTATACTACGCAATGTTGTGCGCTTTCAGTTTCCGACTTTTATAACTAATCTATGAAATATATCGGGTGTGACTGCTTTTACTTTATATTTCTGGCACGATGCTGGCCGGCAAGCAGGACAAACATGATCAGACAGGGAGACGTGGCATGTCGTTCCTGAATACTCCACCATTATGAGAAAACAGTGCGGATCATAGACTTCTGACTGCTAACAACAGGCCAAACCATGGTCTCACACTGCCACCTACTGGTTCAAAAATGAATCATATGCTACAAATATCCCGGACTAGTTACCAGGTCTCCTATTAAAACTAGTTAATTTAGGGCATTTTCAAATGAAAATGTCACTTGCTTAAACATAAACGAATTCACAAAAATGTGATCACACGTTGGTGGGTATCACACAAGGTTCACAAGCAACACCAGTTTGCAAAATACAAGAAACAACCGTCAGGTGCTCAAAATGAACCTTAGACTCAAACATTAGAACCGGCTGTTCCCCACAGTATGCCATGTAATAAATGATGTCTAAAAATATCTAGTTTCATGCATTGGTCAAAACACTCAACTCCATGTACACAATGCTCAGCTGAAAACACTTCACAAAAGTCAAGTTTCCCGACATTTACAGAATTTAAAGAAAATGCACTATTTTGGATATATATTGTTATCAGGATGAGGAATGTCTTATATTGGGATATAAGATTTTGGTCTGCTTCTTTTTGTCAGGGATAAAATACATATCTATACTTTTTTTTGTGTCCCAGCTGAGTAACGGGAGGAGAAGAGTCTGGTGGAGCAGCTAATTTCAGCCATTTGGACTCAGCTCAGCCACTACAGAGGAAACGATGACTTTAACACAAAAGGTGAGAAAAATATCTCAGTTACGCTGTTATTGAAACTGTGTGCACAGCTGGTTGTTAACAGCAGCTTTATCTTTTCCATCCTGGGCTCCTCCATAAATAGAGAAGCTACATTCACAAACAAAAACCACAGAAGTTACAAGAAAGCACAAAGATCATATTTTATCAGCACACATGCACACACATGGCAGTCTGTTACACAGGGGGCAGCTCCTGTATCGAATCTTGCTAACTTGAGGTATGTAATCTGTGTAGGACCATGAATTGAAGGAGCCCATGTCTGGCACATATAGGAGTGTACCCTGTAGAGCAGTGATTCCCAAACTTTTTTGCTGGGCCCCCCTTGTTTTACAAGAAAAATGTTCGCGCCCCCCCTTCTCGCGCGTGAACAAACACCCTCCAACCACACACGCCCATATTTTGCTCCATTGTGGTTTGTTTCACACCCCAAACATTTAGTAAACAATTAACCCTTGTGTTGTCCATGGGTCATTTTTGTCCTCTAAAGAAATCTTTTGCTATCAAAAATGTATTTGTTATTCATCAAATGGGCTGAAAATAACAGAAGTTATTCATTACTATACTATGAATGATTGGAATAAGTTTCAAGTAATTTGATTTATTTATGTGGTTTTTATTGAATTTTATAACGTTGTTGGCCCTCGTGGACAAAAATGACCCCAAAGTACAAAGTGTTGCAAAGAGCCGTATTTTCACACCATACTGTTTTCAAACATCTTTGATCTTGGATCACTGATGTGTGGGGTCAAGCACTGGTCATAACAACCACAACAGGCAGCACAATGAGGAGGCAGGTGCTCTATATTCAATGAAATTTTATTTATACAGCGCCAAATCACAACAACAGCCGCATCAAAGTGTTTCGTATTGTAAGGTAGACTCTGCAATAATACATACACAGAAAGTATCCTCAAAAGCCTCCATTGCACTGGAGATTTGCATACTTTGATGAGCATACTTTTTTTTACCATGTTGTGCAAAGCAATGACCAGTAGGACAAAGCACATATTGTCCTCTAGTATAATGAGGAGGGAGAATCAATGTTCAGGAAGATCCAGGGTTAGAAGATATAGAAAATATTGTCAATATTTAGAGCACATGCTACCCTTTCTCTGAAAAAGCACATCAGCCACCTGCAGAAGTGGAAGAAGGCTATGAAGTGAAGAAAAGTGATGAAGAATCTGAACTATGTTCAAGTAGGTTCTCAGGCATCCAGGACATGGTAGTCTGAGGAGCTTGGAGAGAAAGTGACTGGGCTTCTTGAAGTTTCTTGAATTTTCAGAATGTGAAACTGAAATAGAAGATGTGTCAGAGGACTACACATCATCCATTTCAATTATGATGAAGACAAAGAATCAAGCAGGAAAGAGGAATCAGCTGAGACAGAGGAATATTTGCAGTAACGTGAGGAAACACTGATCTGGTCTTCTAACCTTCCCAGTGACAGACGATGCATGACTCTCTCATGTGCCTCAGAGAAAGATGATCTACCACAGTCCAAGCACATGTGCCAGGTCCCATACTCCTTCAGTGGCTTTTCTACTCGAGTACTGAAAGCATTATACACAGTGTATTCTGCTTGTATTCTGCTTTTTAACGTTCACATGCCAATGGATGCATCAGAGACCAAGTTGGGGTTCAGTAACTTGCCCAAGGACACCTTGGTAAGAACTCCAGACTAGAGCACACAGAGATTGAACCAACAACCATCCAATTAGCAGATGACCTGCTCTACAGCCAACTCAATGATGAACAAGGAGGGACAACAAGAGAGGAAGAAAAATGGACCGAATGCAGCTGTAGGCATATGTGGGTGTGTTGATTCTTACTGCCGTGCATCCAGTAGAGTCGCTACGGCCAGTTTATGACATCCTGAGTCTGGTAGAGAAGTTTTCATGCTGACACAAGATTAATCATAGAAGCACAAAAAGGACATAATTTCTTGATAAAGACACAATAGATGATCGTCGTTCATGACACAAACGTGCTCCCATTTGAGGTGTATGATGTGTGTTGGTGTTGACTTGACTTGAAACACAAGTGGGTGTTCCTCCTGCTGTGATGTAAGATCCTGGTACTGATGTGACTGTATGAGCACCAAGTCCCCTTCAGAGGACTCTGTCCCCTCCAACAGAACATCCAAGTAAACCAGGGAACTTTGAGACAAAAACATGGGCAGCATGTGATGCAGGTCCAGCTGTACATGGAACATGCTCGTGTGCGATGGCAAACCGTCTGTCCTGCAGTCAGGACACGAGTTGTCCCTAACATTGCAGGTTTCCAAAAGAAAACAATCACCTGTAACAGCTTGTTTACTGTATATGCCCCTTGGCCTGCAACTGCAGAAAGAATGCTGTCCATGATGGGACCAGTGCAGAGGAATAAACCTGAGCTTCCTCCTGCACTTGGGTCAAATATGGACACGCCTTTGTCCTCATGAAAGTTTGCCTTCACTCAGACTCATGCCCTCCTACCATGCCAAAATATAGAAAACTGTCAGGCAATGAGTTGGAATAAAGTTGAATAAAACCTTGAAACACAGAGATGGATGATATTTTATACTTGTTGCTTCAAAGCAAACGGGGTCATTTTTGAGCCCTGAGGACCACAGGTGTGATTATGTGCTGCCATTTAAAATTTATAAATGGTTCAAAAAAAGAATTCTCACTAAAGTTCAACATACAGCACTCTGTATGTTGAACTTTAGTGAGAATTTAAAAAAAAAAAATTTTTTTTAAATATTTAATTTAATTAAATATTTAATTTTCTTGTTTTATTTTTGCTAAAAAACAGGGTGTATTTTTTGTAAACAAGGTCTGGTGGCCCTAAAATGTAAAATGTTGGGTAAATTTTGTGTTAATGTGTTGGTCTTAAGTAAAACTAAGGTGTAACACTGAATTGATTGACAATTTATACTTTTTACTTTAAAAAAACAGTCAAATGAAGTGGGGACATTTTTGACCCCTGAGGACCACCAGTGTGATTATTTGCTGCCATTAAAAATTTTCAAACACTTGAAAAAAAACTTTCTCACTAAAGTTCAACATACAGCAGTCTCTAGTTATTCAGATAGTCAAAATTATCTAAACAATTAAATATTTAATTTTCTCAATTTGTTTTTGCTAAAAAACAGGGTTTATTTTTTGTAAAGAAGGTCTGGTGGCCCTAAAATGTAAAATGTTGGGTAAATTTTGTGTTAATGTGTTGGTCTTAAGTAAAACTAAGGTGTAACACTGAATTGATTGACAATTTATACTTTTTACTTTAAAAAACAGTCAAATGAAGTGGGGACATTTTTGACCCCTGAGGACCACCAGTGTGATTATTTGCTGCCATTAAGCAAATACAAGTAATCTGCAATAAATTACAGGTAGTAATAAAATAAACTACTAACTCTTTTACGCTGCGTCCGCACCTACACGGGTATTTTGGAAAACGCAGCTGTTTCGTCCACACGTAAACGGCGTTTCGAATCACCAAAAACTGAGTTGTTTTTTTTTTTTAAACGCATGCTCAGTGAGTTCCTCGGGCAGCAGAAATCCAAGGAAGAGGAGGAACCATAATGGGAGGACAGGCCCCTGCACGGTATGTACCACCAGCAGATAGAGGAAGTGGCTGACATCCAGAAGTCCTACCAGTGGCTGGACAAAGCTGGACTGAAAGACAGCACAGAGGCACTAATCATGGCAGCACAGGAGCATGCTCTATGCTCGATAGAGAATGGGGTCTATTATACCAGGCAAGACCCCAGGTGAAGAGGGTGTAAAGTTGACTCCAGCAGGACAAACATGGAACGCCATAACCAAGTTATTGCTCCAAAAGTTGATTCTGTTCATCTGCACGTAGCGTTTTGTGGGAGAAACGTTTCGTCACTCATCCAAGTGACTTCTTCAGTCTCAGCTGACTGCAGGTTTCCCCAATCTTATAAACAGTAAATTGGCATAATGAATCTTGTAGTATTGTCTTTACCTCATTTATTTTTTTTATTTCCTTAGATTATCTCTCTGTTCAACACTTTCGCTGACACTTGATGTCTTTTAAATGTTCTATACAAAGAAATCTGTCTTGACTTGACTGCAGTGTGTTTAGTGACATCTTTGACTCCACTAATGGAGGAAGTTGGAAGGTTGAGTTTGTTCCACGACTGCATTTCACTCACTGCCTCTGTTTGTATCTCTGTCACTGCAGGACCAACATGGAGCGAGAAGTCAGCGCTCTCAGGAGGCGGACAAACCTCACAGAAGAAAGGGAGAGAAAACATACAGCTGTGACGAGTGTGGGAAGGGGTTTACCCGTCCTAGAGGCCTAAAAACACACCAATCCATCCACAGTGGAGTTAAATCTTACAGCTGTGAGTTGTGTGAAAAATCTTATACCCAGGCTGGACACTTAAAAACACACCAAATCATCCACAGTGGTGTTAAAGCGTACAGCTGTGATGAGTGTGGGAAAGATTTTTCTCGAAAGGATTCACTAAAAACACATCGGCTTAGACACATTGGGGAGAGACCATTCAGCTGTGACTTGTGTGGAAAATCTTTTATCCTTGCTGAGTATTTGACAAAACATCGACGCATCCACACTGGGGAGAGACCATACAACTGTGACTTGTGTGGAAAGACTTTTACCCAGGCTGGAAACCTAAAAAGACACCAGCTAATCCACAGTGGAGTTAAACCGTACACCTGTGATCAGTGTGGTAAAGATTTTCCTTACAGTAGCTATTTACGGCTTCATCAAGTTACCCACTCTGGAATTAAGGCGTACGGTTGTGGAATTTGTGGAAGACACTTCAGCGGCAAACAGAGCCGAAATAAACACCTACGCATTCACACCAAAAATGACGTGTGCTACTGTGATCAGTGTGGCAAACTGTTTATGACATACAACAGCTTAAAACAACACATGTTTACACACGCTGAGGAGAAACTTTATAAATGTGACCTGTGTGATAAGGCTTTTAAATCTCCACGATCCCTCAGAGTCCACCAACAGCTCCACACCAGAAAGAAACTCTACAAGTGCAGTTACTGTGAGGTATGTATTTATATTTTTATTTTACCCTGGACTGTTTGGATTTATCACACTTGAATTTCAGTTCAGAGGTTTGCTTCCATGATCCTTACAAAAACACTGAATAACTAATTCTCTGTAGACACAGTATCCACTTTGTACCATATACAGGCCCATGTTACATTTGCCATTTCTGCTGGAATTTGGCAAGTGTCAGTAAAGAACATAAGTCATCTATCTAAAAACAATGATCACTGTTACTTTGTATCCATAATCGGATTTAGAGTTGCAATTCATTTGAAGCATTTTTTTGAACTAATTTTAATATCAATGCAATCAGATAGCAGGATGCTATACACGGGCCAAACTTCAGTCAGGAGAACAACTGAGATCATTCATCCACAATACGAGGTTAGTTATTAATATACTGCAACAACATGGGAATAGAGCAGCTGCAAGCGAATTCAACATTAATGAATCAATGTTACGGAAGTGGAGGAAGCGCAGATGAAATAATGATAAATTGCAGATGATGATGGTTGTAGCCGCTGCGATGCTTTCGACCAAAACAGGCGCAGCTTGGTGACATCATCAACATGCACTATCGCGATAGAGCGATATAGTCAAAATCTCTATCGTTGGCAAAATTTATATCATTTCTATCGTATATGAGGCATGTTGTAAAAAGCTCTTTGAGTGCTGAGGTAGAGTAGAGCCATTGCGGGTGGGTATAAATTAAAAAAAAAAGGCACTGCTAGCATAGTAGAGAACAGAAGCATCACCAAATATGTTTTCAAACCAATCTCTTTCAAGCCAAAGAGTAGAAATTTGATGAAGCCTATCTTACCTTTGTCTTCACCTTTACAATGGTGGATAATGAGGACAGTTTAAAGCCAAACAAGCTAAATGCCACTTGGAGACAAAACATCCACAGCACAAAGACAAGTCAGTTTACTTTTTTTAAACAAAAATTTGTGAATAGTTGTCCTTAACAGTGTCTTTTTAATAAAGCTGCATCCGTGCCAGCAAATGCTTACCTCTGCTCTTATAAAGTTTCCTACCAAGTGGCACAGTGTAAAAAAGCCACACGCAATTGCGGAGGAATTAATAGCATCAGCATATTTATGATATGGGGGCAGGGAAAGCTCAGTAGGTAGAGCCTAGAGCTGGGCGATATGAGATTTTTTTCATATCACGATATGTTTTTTTCATTTCAGGCGATCACGATATCTATCACGATATAAGCCAAATAACTATATTTGTAAGATTTAAATGTGCCGTTGCTCACAAGTAAAATGTGAAATAATCAGCAGCTTGGTCAAAGGAGCTTGCAAAGAAAAGCGTCTGGACTTCTTTAAAGAAGTCCAGACGCTTTTCTTTGCAAGCTCCTTTGACTACGATGACCTGGATGACTGAGAACCTTCACAGACATAATCAGCAGCTTGTTTTGATTTAAATATTTATTTCCCATAATAAGTTCAACAGGGTAGATGTACTTAAGGAACATGAGACTTTTTCAGATAAATAAAGGCAAATATTGCAAACTACACAAAAGGCAGCCGCTAAAGCGTTTAAGTTTCAAAATAGAACAAACGAAACAGACTAAATTGTCAATTCCACTTAGAAACAAAATATTAATTCTAAAAATAAATCTTAGTTGGTTTTACAGAAGAACAGACAAAACTGACTAACTTTTGTCAATATCAAATAAACTGAGAACTAAAAGGAAATTCTCAATCTCTCCTTGTTGTATAGCTGAGCTTTTCAAACAGTTTTAACAGTTACTTTAGTCTGACAAAAGCCGAATGACGAATTAGCGCTTCCAGTCAGAGACTGAGCTGCACCGCTTTATTGTATTTCCAGACTTGCTTTCGGCACAATTTACAGTGCACGCTACTCTGTTTTTGTCAGACTTGAAATAGCCGAAATACCTTCACATTACGGAACTTCTATGGCTCTTCCGTTCGACAATCTCTCCGGCATTGGAACCATCATCTGTTTTCTCTTCGGTCACGCTCGGTTGATTTTTCCAGTCGGCACACTCATTTCCTCCATTACCCGGGCGGCACGGCGGCTGGCTGCTTCCCAAACAAATACACGTGTGTGGCTTGGCACTTGTGCTGTACGTAATAAGTCACGTGATGTGACGCTGCAGCTGTGATTGGTTCGGCTCTGCACTACTTAATTTGGATTGGCTGTTCTTTTTTTTATTTTTTATTTTTATTTATTTATTTATTTATTTATTTATTTTATTGTTAAGAGGACAAGAGAGATGAGGTCTATCGCAATAGTTTAATTTTTCTATCGAGAAAAAGTTATTTCGCAATACATATCGTTATCGTTCTGTCGCCCAGCTCTAGTAGAACCCCATGATCAGAAGGTCCGACATTCAAATCCCCTGAACAGCTACCCTGAGGTACCCCTGAGCAAGATACCGTCCCTACACACTGCTCCCTGGTGCACCTCCTTAGTGGCTGCCCACGGCTTCACTGAGTGAATGGGTCAAATGCAGAGAGAGTAATTTCCCCACAGGGATCAATAAAGTACACATTTATTATTATTATTATTATTATTATTATTATTATTATTATTATTATGTGTCAGAGGACATAGTGGAACAGCCTAATGATAAGGTGCATGATAAACACTTTTCTCTGCAGATGGATGAAGCCACTGACAGTAACAGAGACTGCTTACTGATAATGTATGTCAGAGCGTCTATTCTTTTAAAAGATTTAATTTGCTTCAGCAGTTGAAATTAAAAGTTACAGTGCTGAACATTGATGTGAAATCAGCGGTCTGTTTTCTCACAAAGGATGCCCTTAGAGGAGGGCCGCGCAGTTTTATGCTAAAAGAAAAATGTATTGTTATGACTATTTTCTTCTGGCTTCTCCTGGCTGGTTCTCCTCTTGCACCTCATTCACATTTGACCTCGTCTTGTATCATCCCTCTTCCTGGAATAAGATGGAGAACGAAAAATCACCTCCCCAACCTATCTTTGCTGCATTTAAAATTATCTAGCAATTTTCAGCATACCGTTTCTAGTTATTATCTAAGCTCAGGACATGTTTGGTCTCCCTTGGTCAAGCAAAAGTATCTCCCTGACTTTAACCAGTGTGATGTGTAAGCATGTTTGCAGAACCCTCCGCAACTCAGCATGTCAGTCGCAATAATTCATAGTGCTGAATGAAGGTTTTGACCATCACTACATGGAGTGCCAACTCTTTAATGAGCACATAGCAATGTGTACATAAAAAACAGCATTGTTTAATCATTTTATTTCTAACTTCGCCCAGTAAGCTGAGTGTTATAATGTAAACAGTAAAATGTAATTAGGCTGCTCTTTATTTCAGGCGACGTTCAGAATAAAAATGTTGGAAGGATTCCCTGACTTACACTGTGTTTGTGTCTTTGTTTAGAAGCAGAGCGACACAGATGGATCCAGTTCTCAACCCTGTGAGCACTGTGGTGGTGGGAAAGAGTTTCTTTGTGACCTTTGTGGAAGAACTTTCAGTAATCGTGGGAGCCTAAGAAAACATCAACTTAGACACACTGGAGGCAAAATGAACTACT